ACGTTGGTTTGAGAGAGGAGTAAAAGAAGCCATTTTTGTGAAGAAAGACCGTCCATCATTAAACAGAGGTGGAGGCCTCCGTTTTCAGTTGTCCCCCTCCGACAGCGCTGCTATTGCCAGTATCACTCCACCCCTGTTAACATAGGTGTTAATTAGGTGTCAACGATAGCCATGTGATGTGAGTATCAGTCACATGGAGGCAGGGCTTAAAAGCCTGAATTTTGCCTGAAACTCTCAGACTGAAGAAGTCTCTTGGAGGAGAGACGAAACGTTTCGTTAGAGAAGAACCCGTCCAGAAGACCTATACAATTTTTTTCTTGTTGTAGTAACTCATTTAACTAAAGAGTCATTGTAGATTGTGATGGCTGTGGGCAAGAAATATCTTCTGTAGCGGTCTGTATTACAACAAATGTGAAGAAGCCTCCGACTGAAGACACTCTGTTTTTCTATGACAGTCTGATGAAGAGGATGGTCAGGGTTGTCCACAATATTCTTGATTTTATGTAAAATCCTTCTTTGCACCATCATCTCCAGAGGTTCCACACTCATCCCCAGAACAGAACCAGCCTTCTTTATCAGGTTGTTTAGCCTTTTTAGGGCCCTTTGCTCTGATGCTGCTGCCCCAACAGATGATGGCAGAAGAGATGACGCTCTCAACAACAGACTTAGAAGATCTGCAGCATCTTGCTGCAGACATAGGAGTACAGTCTGCTCTCCTTTTTTGTAGATTGCTTCACTGTTGAGTCTCCAGTCCAGTCTGTTGTCCAGATGAACACCAAGGTATTTATATTCCTCAATCATCTCCTCTTCTTCTCCCATAATGGAAATAGGGTTTGATCTAAAACTATTTCTCCTGAAATCTACAATCATCTCCTTTGTTTTGTTGACATTCAAGATGAGATGATTGTTCCCACACCATGTCACAAAGCGGTCCACCAGCTCTCTGTACTCAGCTTCCTGTCCATCTCGGGTACACCCAACAACTGCAGAGTCATCTGGGTATTTCTGTAGATGACAGCAGTCTGACTTGTGCTGGAAGTCTGAAGTGTACAGTGTGAACAGGAATGGTGAGAGTACAGTTCCCTGTGGTGCTCCTGTGCTGCTGACCACATGGTTAGACACACAGTCCTTCAGTCTCACAAACTGTGGTCTGTTTGTCAGGTAGTCTTTGATCCAGGCGATTGTTGAGGCCTCCACCTGAGTCTTCTGGAGTTTCAGACAAAGTAAATCAGGCTGAATTGTGTTAAAAGCACTGCAGAAATCAAAGAACATGATCCTCACAGTGCTGCCTGCTTTGTCCAGATGACAGTGGGTTTGTTGAAGCAGGTGTTTAATGGCGTCTTCAACTCCAATTCCACGGCGATAAATAACTAAATCTGTTGAAGAATGTGTTCAGCTCATTTGTTCTGTCTATACTTCCATCTATCCGATCCTTCTTTTGCCTGAAGCCTGTGATCTTCTTCATCCCTGACCACACAACTCTGATATTGTTTCTCTGCAGTTTACTCTCCAGCTTCTTTCTATAAACCTCCTTGCTGTCTCTGATCTTGACTTTGAGCTGCTTCTGTATAATCCTCAATAACTTCCTGCCTTGCTCCCTAAACGCTCTCTTTTTTCTTGTTTAACAGTTCCTTTAGCTCACTGGTGATTCAGGATTTGTTATTAGGGAAGCATCTCACTGTTCTGGTTAGGATGGTGTTGTCCACACAGATATTGTCGCTCAGTCATGACATCTGTCATCTCCATCTCCGGCTGGCTCTTTGCCAGCCGGCGAAGAGCAATCCAATTTGTAGCTTCAAAACAGCCCAGTTCGGGTAGGCTGCATAAAACTGCTGTGGAATGAGACAGTCTAGCGTTCACTCAACGCAAGTTTGCGTGACCATGCGCTACCCCATTACCTTAGTGATGTTTCATATCAGAGTGAAAGTGAGTTGGGACATGTATTTAAACATTTTTTTCACTGTAAGACTACTTCACAATCAAAACATTACATGTAAAACAAAAACAATAATTTGGGTTTAGCTCCAGTAACAGTACTTGTAGTTGCATTTTATTTAACATATTTTTGCAGCATAATTTTCATCAGCTAAATTATTGAACTAACTTTTAAAAACAAATTCTTCGGTTCGAGATGAATTTTCAAACTACACCGACTTGGTAAAAAAAAAAACCCAGCCATTTCTCCGTTTAGTTTGCTGTTGGTTGGAATCCTGGGATATCCTCGGTCTGTAAGGATACACTGATGCATCCTTGGTTTTCAAAAATTTGTGGGCCACATTTTGCGGCCGCTTGAGGAGGAGCCTTCGAATATGGGCAGTGACGTATGCACCCAACAAATGTGCACTCATGAGGATGCAGCCCATGAATTGAGACACAGTCTGTATCATAGCAATAACGGAACTGTTGATATCACATGCATTGTCAACAGCTGAGGGTGGAATGTAAACAGTTGCCAAAATAAAACTGGTGAACACTCTTGTTAAATAATATGAATGAAAACTTACTGCTAAGAGTTCAATGTCTGGAATGCAATGATGACACTCCACAGTAACATGTCTTGGATGACACCATCTCTTGTTGACAAGCACTGCTAATCCTCCACCTTAGTTTTTCCAGCTGTTGTTAAAATGTTTGACTTTACATTCCTCGTTCAACTCCTCTTGGTTTTTTGGCTTTAGTTGTGGTATTATTTCAGATGTTGCACTAGTGCCGACGCTTTCACCATATATACAGTATGTATTAGCTCAGCGCTACACATTCTCCTCTCATCACTGGGGTCCTCCATCAACATGACAGAGAGGGCAGTGCAAAAATGACTCAGCCTGCAACTGAAAATGTGGATGGAGGACCTCCAGTTGCGCTGGCGCCGAGCTAATACATATTCTGTATAAGGCAGTATAGCGCTGGCGCTAACGCTAAGCTAATAGGCTAAGCTGGGGTTCTTCTTCCGTGAAGCAGCTCTGTTGTCCTCCATCGACATTTTCAGTTCCAGGCTGAGTCATTTCTACCATCTCCTCTCTGTCAACGCTCTCTGGTTTCATTTAAGAGTCGATCATCAGATATTGTCCAAGATTAACCTTCAGGGTGGATATAGCTCGCTAGCAGCCTCGCACCGATAACCTCATCAGCGTCATCATTTACCCAGTATGCTTTGCGTGTAAATAAAATGGCTCCGTCCGAGATAAAATATATATTTTAAAATTTACTAAACAGCCTACAGTATTTTTACAGTCTTTATTTTACAGTTAAAATATATGTTTATCAAATAAAGTCTAATGTTACAACTAAATGTGGATCCCTTTAAAAGAATGAGAAATCAGGAATGGGCAAACACTTTTTTACAGCACTGTATATGTACTGTTTTTCTGTAAAGTCAGGGGTCTGAATGTTCCAAGGCCCTATTGTAGGCTTCCTCCTTTTTAGCCCTGGGCAAATTAACTGTTGAAACATAATGAAAGACATGATGCTGTTATGCCCTATTTAATCCCACTCCTTCGCCAATCTAACTCTCCTTCAACACAAACGCTAGTGAAATATTATATAGAATACTGTTTCTTAATACAGGCTTTTTTTTTTCATTTTCTTAAAAGTTTATATTGGATTTGAGTTCTTTCGAAATCTGGAAATGTATGAAAACAGTGTGGATATGTTTGCTGTCTCAGACTTTTTTTTAAATCTATGGCATTTTCTGAAAAATAAAAAGTTGAGAAATAGTGGAAAAAAGCAGGGTGTTTTTAAAGTTTTTTGTATTATAGGTAAACAGTTGAACATAGTCACAATAGTACATTTTGTTTTATATAGAACATGTCACCAACTTGTAGACACTAAAACAAAGCATGCTGATTTTTTTATTTTATTTTTTACACACCCTTTCTATACTATTTAATTTCACATCACAATATAAGAAGAAATGGCAGGTTACATGTAACATAACTGAACTACTGTACAAACTTAGGTGATATAAACTTTACTTATGTTCTCACATTATAAAATGACTCAAGAATTAACAAAAGTCTGAAATTTTGAGTTGGGAGAAGTAGGAAATTTCCTATTAGAAAATGTTTTGGGTTTTCACTTTCAATTTTATTTGATGAACAGTAAAGATAGATTTGAATAGAGACCTTAAATAAACAATATGTATTTGTTGCACTGTGGTGAACTATCTTTTGCTTTTTTTCATTCTTATTTGTTTGTTTATGATACCAGGTACATGACCTAGATGAACAGACATGGAGCACTGTAGAGGTTGTGCATATAGATATTGCAAACAAAGAAGAAGTGGCCCTCGGGGTAAGTTCTACAAGGCATGTTTAATTGATGAAAAGGCCTTTGAACATGAGAAGTGGAAAATACCTGTTGGGTTTTGGTAGAAGGCTTGAACAAGCTATCAACTTGTAAACAGCTGTAATCTGTTGCTCTAACACCAAGCCATGCCTAAACAGGGCGGCTCATTCAAGCAAGCTGTAAATCATTTTAGGATTAATGCACATTAACAGTTTGCTTACTAAACCCAGTGGGTGGATCAAAGATTTCCTGATCAGGCATGTGCAGTAAGACACGCCTCACTTCTTTCCAGCAGTTTAATAGTTAATTATTGATCAAATGTAGAGATGAAGCAAAACATCGACCGAATGCTAAAATAATTTTAAACCTAAAAAAATTTTGTGTTACTGAATCTGTTTCTAAGTTATAAGAAATGAATAAAATAACCAAAACAAACAAAATAAACAGCTGATGGCTTTGACTTAAAATGATCGCTGTTGGAAAAGACGAGGGACAGATCAGGTGGGGAGGGAAGGTGTGACTTGAAATAATGGCACGTCAGGCTCTGATACTATTTTAAAGGCGAAGCTGAGGTTAAGTCTTTAATTACTCTTTTTCATGGATAATCTGATAAATAAAACAAATAAATATATTTACTCTGTAATGTTTTAGTGCAAAGAAATAATTTGTATGAAACGCACTGATTTCTGATCAGACACTGCAAAAATTAACCATCTAAATAAGTTAAAAATACTACTGTAGATTATACAGAATATTTTCAAATTTATAATAAATAATAATCTGCAGTTTGATAGTTGCACTTGGTAAGACTTCTTGAAATAAAGAAAACTTTTCAGGCTAACAACAAGATTAATAATCCAACATATTCTGATCTTGCTTAGTATATCAATGTCAAAACGAGATCAAAAACACATTTTAACTGATATGAGATTGTAAAACTTGATCAGATGAACTGTTTTTGCAGTAAAGTGTCTGCCTACTGCTCAGAAACATTAACAGATTAAATAAGCTTTAAACCTGGTTGGGACCAGGTTAGTTTCAGAGCACTTGTTACCATGAAAACGCAACAGATTCAAGGCTTAATTAATTCAGGTTTACACCAAAATCTCAGCTTAGTCCCTTATCCTAGATTCGTGCAATAGGCTCCAGATGGGTTCCATACAAATAAATTAAATTAAAATCTGATTATTCTGTCCGTCCGTCCGTTTTCTTCCACTTATCCAGGATCGGGTCGCGGGGGCAGCAGCCTAAGCAGAGAGACCCAGACCCTTCCCTGTCCCCAGCCACTTCGGCCAGCTCCTCTGGGTGAATCCCAAGGTGTTCCCAGGCCAGCCAAGAAACATAGTCCCTCTAGCGTGTCCTGGGTCTTCCTCTGGGCCTCCTCCCAGTGTCGCTGTTTCACCAACTGAAAAATAATTTGTGTTCATTGACCTTATTACATGTTTGTAATCAGATAAAAAATACACCAATACATGAATGTTTGAATGTGAAAAGAATTCATACAACACCACACAGCGCGTTGGTTACTCAATGCTCGTCTCTGCATTCAGCGTCAGAAGTCATCTGATCACTCTCCTGTTGTTTTCAGCTGGAACTTGGTTAAAGAAATACTTCTTGTTTGAAGCTAACAGCTCAACTCCAGATCGATTCAAAGTCAGTCCATCAGACTTGAACAGATGTCGTCTCTCCCAAAAGAGATCCAAGTTATTCACATATCTCACAGAGTGGTCAGCACAGAACTTTTCCAAAAAGTTATGGAAGGCAAACAGTCTACTGAATCTCTCAGCCCCTCCTTTTGCTGTAGGGATGGGCCCACTAATGAACACATCCATGTTGAGATTCTTAATTGCATTCAGCAACTGCATGAAATCCTTCTTCAGAATTTCTGACTGTCGGTTCATAACTTCATCACTTCCTGCATGAATGATGAGCGTCTTCAGAGCTGGAAACTCAGATGTGATTTCCAGAATCTGCCCTGCGAGGTCAGACACTTAATTTTAGGAGTGTCCTCCTCCAATCTGATTATTCATGTATTTAAAATAAGAAGCCTGACTATTCAGCTTATTGTTAGGATATTACTGATGAGAAGTACCTCAAATTGAAATGAGAAGTCCTTTGTCTGAGGGAATTCAGTCATATGACTTTACTGATACTTGACTGATACATTCAAATGTGCTATTAACTTAACTACAGTTTTCATGTCACCTGAGTGTTTTATTTTTAATTGTACGTATAATATATGAACTTGTCTGATTATATGTTATTTAGCTATTAACAATCTCTACAATTAAACTGGCCTAAAATAGGCATATTATCACAAACAGGTCCAGTGCTGTATCAGGAAGAGTGTTTTTAAAGAGAGTTTTAGTCTCTTGTGGTCAGTAATGCTTGAACAGTTGTGTTAGCAGTTTAAAATATGACAATGTTCAAGTCTTTTTAATCTAGGTGGGCCCTTCTTATTTGTGCCTTTCTTACATTAGCTCCTGGGCAATAATGATTTAAGTGGATCAGTGTAGAGGCCGCAGTTTAATCTGTCCACCTGCTCCAAGTATTCACAGCAGAGATCCATCTATATCTGCTTCTTCCTTTCAGGGTCATGTGGGTCACTGGTGCCCATATCTAGCAGTCACTGTGCGAAGGTCGGGGTACACCCTGGACAGGTCACATCACAGGGCCACATACTGTATAGACAAACGAGACAAACAACCTCTCTCACTCACTCACACCTAGGAACAATTTAGAGTTACCAACTAACCTACCAATCATGTTTTTGGTCTGTGGGAGGGAGCTGGAGTGCCTGGAGAAAACCCACGCATGCACAGAGAGAACATTCAAACTCTACCCAGAAAAATCCCAAGCTGGGATTAAATCTGGTGGCTTTGTTGTTGAGAAGCATCAATTCTACCAATAGAGCCAATGTGCCTCCCTCACAGCACAGATGATGGATTTAAATGAACGACAATCTGTGAACATGGGGTTTGGGATTTTAGGAGTTAAATAAAATAATGCTCTTGGTGATTTGGTTAAGTTTAAAAGGCCATGGTGTATTAACATTGGTGCAGCTGCTGGAACTTGCAGTTAATACTGTATAGGGAAACACTTCTCCAAAATCAACACAAAGTCTTGAAGTTTATATTGTGTTTAAATAGTTTTCATGTTTGAATAAAAATGGAAAAACAAAGGTGTTTACCGACCATTGCATTCTTTAAAAACTAAAAATATAACATTTATAATAATTGTTTTTAAAAAATGGTAAATGGCACTTCAGCACTTCATCAAGTCCCTATGGACTCCAAAGCACTTTACACTTACAGCCATTCAACCATTCTCACACACATTCACACACTGATGGTGGTAAGCTACATTGTAGCCACAGCTGCCCTGGGGCACACTGACAGAGGTGGGGCTGCCATGCACCGGCGCCATCAGGCCCTCTGACCACAATCAGTAGGCAAGGCAGGTGAAGTGTCTTGCCCAAGGACACAACAACTGAGACAAATGGAATGGGGGGGATCTGTAACATTTTTGTGGCAAAACATTAATCGTTATGCAATAATTAGTTAGGGCCATGAGTAAAAACATGGGAAAAACATGATTTTAGGGTAATGAAAGTTTGTGAGATTCCAATAAAATAATAGTATACCTTAGCAAAAAACTTTGGTGTTATATTTTTAATTTAAAATAGTATTTAATTATTTTAGTATTTAGTATTTAAGTACAAAAATATTGCTCAGTATGAATATCTATTGTACTGTATATGGTTGTTAATTATTTTACAAAAGCATCGCTGCTCTGCCTTGACCATCAGGCAATAATTACAATAAATTTAATGGTTTGTTGTCAGAAAGTAGATTTAAAACGAAAAAATAAGAAATTTAAATCTTGAAAAGTATGGAAAATATGTTGAAATCTGTCATGTTAGTTTGAAGGTTTTGTTTTTGTTTGGTTCTTTCAGGACTATAAGCCAGAAGAAGATCCAGCTCTTTTCCACTCAGCAAAGACCAGTAGAGGACCTTTAGGTCCTGAATGGAAGGTGCCTGACACAAACATATTATCCACATGTGCTTTCCTTAACTGGTAAAACCCTGATGAATTCTCCTGTTTTTCTGCAGAACGAGCTGATGTCAGACTGTCCTTACATGTGTGCTTACAAACTGGTCACTGTCAAGTTCAGATGGTGGGGTCTGCAAACTAAAGTGGAAAACTTTATCCACAGGGTAAATACTAAGCATAGGTTGTTGTTTTATTTTGTATTAACTAATTAAAAAATTTATTTATGTATTTATTTTTGAGATTTTCTAATTTACAAAAAACACAGATCAAATTTGAGGACATTACCAAAACAAATTCCATATGAGTATCAGACTTAATCACCCTGTCAGTAAAATGAAAGACCTTGAATTAGTTGAGAGGCCACCTCTGGCTGTATGTACTTCAGGTAAGGTTTACAGGTTGAGTGGAAAGTGCCCATTGAGAAGTTGAGCAAACATGAAATGTACTCATTGGGAATACATTTCTGAATCATCTTATTCCATGACTTCATTGAGGGTGTATTGTCCTTAATCCAAAAAGTAGAATCTGATCACATCAACTGAGTTCACCTGAAACCCCTCAGACTACAGGTGAACTCAGTAGAATCAATGAAATGTTGGACGACTTCCTGGGATATTTCCCTTTATTAAGAATGAGAGAGAGATTAGATTGTGGTAGAGAAGAATAAAGAATACCAGTCGTGAAAGAGTGGTCCAACATGTCTGACAAAGCATCTGACAGAATGTTACCCAACATTTTGCAGAATTCACAACCATCTGTCCGGTCCTGGGGATTTTCCTGAACACAGCACTTTTACCACTGATAAAGCCTCCTCTCTGGAAATAGGGACTTTAAGAATTCTCTGGATGTCTGAAATCTGTGGAAGAGTTAAGTCTGAGAAAAAGAATGCGTCAGATTTAGGGAATTATCAGGCTGCTACGACTGATACAAATTAGATTTAGGTTTGTAATATTTCACTAGGAGAATCAAGAAAAGTATCTGCTCCTTTTAACATCAGTTAGGATGGGAAAAGTTAAGAGGAGTTTCAACGAGACAATTATGTTTTGCTTTAACTAACGGTTTTAAGCATTTATGACTTGGGTGTTTTATTCAATATCTCTCACTGCATTGTAATCTTTGGGTCTTCTCATAAATCTTTTTCAAGGCTTAAACACACTTACATTTTTTTGGTTTTCAGTGGGTTGCTATATTTTTGAATGATGTGAATATGCATGAGTCAAAATGTGTATGTATAAGTTTTCTATATTCAAGTTCAAGTTTAATTATATAGCGCCAAGTCACAACATACGTTGTCTCAGGGCACTGTACATAAAAAGAACAATCTAAAGAAGAAACCAGCAGACCGCGTTGAATCACTTCATCACAGTCTCCCATCCTGAGCAAACGGTGGAGAGGAAAAACTCCCTGCTAATCAGGAAGAAACCTCCAGCAGAACCAGGCTGAATCTTAAAAGATTAGAACAGACTTGTCACATCAGCATTGTCTGCAGACGAGGTCATATTTTCAAACTAAAATAGAGTTTTGTCTCTAAGACACCTTTTTCAAAAGAAAGTTCAATTAGTTGTGAGACATGACCGGAGGTGTTTAAAGGTCATGTCAGGGGTCACGGTTGTTTGTGCTACACTAAGTAATAATCTAATTACTTTCTACTAGTTTTGTAAAATTCAACTTTCCTCTTTTCCACAGCAAGAAAAGCGTATTTTCACCAACTTTCACCGTCAGTTGTTCTGCTGGATTGATAAATGGGTGGGTTTGACCATGGAGGACATCCGGCGGATGGAAGAGGAAACTCAAAAAGAGCTTGAGGAGGTAACTATTCATCAACACTGGACCTGAAACGTTCTACTCTCTTCATGTTGGGATCATTGGGATCAGTTTTTACTTGAATAAACACTCACTGGCCACTTTATTATGGTCCACATGTACGGTTGATTAACACAAATGAATAATCAGCCAATCACATGGCACCAACTCATTTCCTTTAGGAATGTAAAGGTGCTGAAGATGGACGGCACAGTCACTTAGTTGGTAGAGCTGATGCCTCCTAGCAAGAAGGTTGCGAGATCGAATCCCAGTCTGGGAACTTTCTGGGTAGAGTTTGCATGCTCTCTGTGCATGTGTGGGTTTTCTCCGGGTTCTCAAATTCCTCCCACAGACCAACAACATGAATGTTAGGTTAAGTGATAACTCTAAATTGTCCCTAGGTGTGAGTGAGAGAATGAATGGTTGTTTGTCTCATTGTTTGCGATGCAGACGGAATCGCAGGTTTGACCAAACGAAATGGTATCCAATGTAAAACGAAAAATCTCACAATTCACTTATTTGGGTGAGTTTCTGAGGTATTTTGGCTGCTGCCGCTACCTGCTTTGTCTGTTGTTTAATAAAGCACTGTAAACAGAGGGGTGTCTTTCAAAACAGAAATAATGAGGTTAGATTCTATAATAGGAAAGTGTGCACAAATTGCTGCTCTTTGTAGATTTTAGTTTTTTTTTATGACCTGTTTAATGTTAGGCTCAATTCTGAAGCATTTTTATTTTACAAAAGGATTAACTTTATTAATGTGAGATTTTATGTTTTACACAAAGAATGTCTTGGGGTTTTTTTGTAAATACTTTTACATACCGTGGACACGTTTTAGTTTAATAAATAGAATGAAAATGTGAAATTCAGGGGAGAAAATGAAAAAAGTTTAATTTATAAAATTAAAAACGGAAAAAACATAATTTTGGAAAAATTAAAGCTGATTTTATAGGGCCCTATCTACATGGCTCTGTGATGGACTTGCTTCCTGTCCATGGTGTACCCTGTCCCTCGCACAGTGGCTGCTGAATATGGGCACCAGTGACTCCTGTAACCCTGAAAGGAAGAAGCAGGTAAAAGATAATGGATGAGTGGATGGTGGTGAAGATGATTTGTTGAAGTTCAAACCAGGCATCATAGGATTTAAGTGACTTATGTGGCATTGTTGTTGGTGCCAGATAGCAGGTCTGAGTTTTCACAAACTGCTGATGTACTGGGATTAGGTGGACCTAATAAAGTTGCTGGTGAGTGTATGATGTTTTTTTTTTCTTTTCTTTTGTGGATGGGGGTGTGGTGGGTTTGCTTTTTTTTTAACATTAATGTATTTCTGAATGTTGTATTAATCTGACCAGACTGCAGAAGGCAATGCTGCACACTTACCTTGATTTAACTCAGACTTACTCCTGAATTTCATATCAGATGCGTCAGAAAGGTGATGTTCGAGGCACTTCTGCAACAGACGAGTAGAGGCACTGCACTGTAGGTGAAAAACTAGAGGCAGGCTGAGTAAGTTTCCGCCCCGCCTTGGCCAGTGGTGTTGCTGTTGCATGGATCATTCTCTATCCTTTGCTTTCAACTTGTGTCGAAATTGTCCATTTGCATTGGAACATTCTTCTTTTTTCAGCTTTTTTTGTTGTTGTTTTGTCCTACTCTTCTGTTTCTTACTTTTAGACCCTGTTGTTTACTTATGGATCCACAAACTCAGGTCTGCAACCTGCTGTTCTGGGACCACATGTGGCTCTTTTGTCCCAATCTAGTGGGTTTTTGTAGCTTCAACTTTAACAAAAAGAGACAACTTACTAAATACACTCCTGATCAAAATCTTAAGACCAGTCAAAAACGTGCAAGAATTTGCATTTTGCACTATTGGATCTTAAGAAGGTTCTAAGTAGAGCTTCACAATGTTAAAAGAAGAAATCGGCGTAAGAGACACAAACTTTTGAGTGGGGAATTAATTGAAAACTGCATTTACACTCAAACATGATTTTTTTAGCTGATCAAAAGTTTAAGACCATAGCTCAAAAAACCCGAAAACCCTCCAAAACAGAAAACAAAGTGTCAAAAAAAGGACTCCAGTAATAAGTAGCTCCACCATTCTTGTTGATGACTACAAACAATGGTTTAGGCATGCTTGATGCCAGTGTTTCCAGGAGGCTAGTGGGAACGTTGCTCCAAGDGTMGAAGATGMCTTCACGAAGGGCATCCACTGTCTGGAACTGATGTCCATTTTTGTAAACTTCCCTTGCCATCCATCCCCAAATGTTTTCAGTTGGGTTTAGATCCGYGGAACATGCAGGATGGTCCAAAAGAGTGATGTTATTCTCTTGGAAGAACTCCTTTGTCAGGCGGGCATTGTGAACTGCAGCATTGTCCTGTTGAAAAACCCAATCATTACCACACAGACGAGGACCCTCAGTCATGAGGGATTTTGCAGGGGGCATCCCTCATGACTGAGGGATGCCCCCTGCAACATCTCCACATAGACAGCTGCTGTTTGACGCCCCTGCACAACCTGAAGCTCCATTGTTCCATTGAAGGAAAACGCACCCCAAATCATGATGGCGCCCCCACCACTGTGCCGTGTAGAAAACATCTCAGGTGGGATCTCCTTGTCATGCCAGTAACGTTGGAAGCCATCAGGACCATCAAGGTTAAATTTTTTCTCATCAGAGACGACAACTTTCTTCCACCTTTCAATGTCCCATGTTTGGTGCACCCTTGCGAAGTCCAAATGGGCAATTTTGTGGCGTTGAAGAAGACGTGGCCTTGAAGACGTTTTTTTGTTTCTGAAGCCCTTCTCTCACAGATGCCGTCTGATGGTTATTGGGCTGCAGTCAGCACCAGTAATGGCCTTAATTTGGGTAGAGGATCGTCCCYTGTCTTGACGGACAGCCAATCGGATCCTGCGGCTCAGAGCTGGTGAAATTTTTTTGGGRCTACCACTTGACTTTTTTGTTCCATAACCCTCAGGATCATTTAAAAAATGCAAAATGACTGTCTTACTGCGTCCAACTTCAGCAGCAATGGCACGTTGTGAGAGGCCTTGCTTATGCAGCTCAACAATCCTACCAVGTTCAAAGTCAGTGAGCTTTTTTACTTTTGCCATCAGGAGGTCTTGACAGTGTAAAGACTTGACAGAAAATGACATGGAATCCAGATTTTTGCACAGCTTTTATATATATATATATAGAGAGAGAAGAGGCTAGCTTTAGCAATTTTCCTATACAGTTTTATGTGAATAGAACCTCTGTGACAAAATACTAGTATGCGTCTTTTTTAATTAAATTTTTTTAGGGGGTGGCATCTGAGAGATACCCCAAACCACAGCAGCGTTTGTGGGGGACACGTTATATCAGTGCATCAGGATAAATTATGTTCAGAATATCAAACTGAAGTGGACAATGGAGACCACTTCTGAAGTTTATCTGAATGAAGGCATCTTCGGTGCATTTTAAGAGCATTCACACCTGTTTTATTGTGACCAGGCTAGGGTTGTCCATCTTTAATCAGTATGATTCAGCCTTTAAATCACAATACTATTCAATCTTTAGTCATGAGATATAATGCAATATTAGTTTGATTCAACAAACTTAAATTCAGTGCAGTACAGCAAAGTTACAGAAAATAAATTATTCTAAGTCAGTCATTGTATTGAGACTAATTATTTACTACCTAATAAAAAATTATCACTTACAAACATGTCTTGGTATAAAATAACAATGCACTTTCATTAAAACTGACAGACAAATAAACAATACACAAAATTAAGCAAAGCAAACCTTCCAGCAGTGTACCTCAACAATTTGTAGCAAAATGTGTGTTCTACTTTTTAAAATAATGCAACGCAAGTTAAACTTTTTATTTTGTAATATTAAATAATCTTCATGAATGAGGGTGAAGCACACTTTTGTTTTGTTGCTATTTATATTGGTGCTGCTGTAGTTCTCTTCATAAAACAGTAGGTGTCACTGATGAAAAAACAATACAACTAAAAAATGAGAGCCACAATTGCCCTCTGAAAAAGAGAGGAGAATGCTTCTTAATACACAAACATAATTACATTTTTAAACATTTTCTTAAATATGTATATTTTTAAAATGTACACTGAGGTAAAAAAAAAAAAAGTATTTAGTCAGCCACCAGTTGTGCAAGTTCTCCCACTTACAGATGAAAAAGGCCTGTAATTAACATCATAGTTAGACCTCAACAATGAGAGACAAAATGAGAAAACATATCTAGAAAATAACATTGTCTGATTTTTTTTTTATAATTTTTTTATAGTGGCTCTCACAGGTCTGTAACTTCTTTAAGAGGGTCCTCTGTCCTCCATTGATTACCTGTAAAAATGGTACCTGTTTAAACTTATCAGTAAGAAAGGTTCACAACCTCAAACAGTCACACTCCAAACTCCACTATGGTGAAGACCAAAGAGCTGTGTAAGACACGAGAAACAAAAGTGTAGACCTGCACCAGGCTGGGAAGACTGAACCTGTAATAGGCAAGCTGCTTGGTGTGAATAAATCAACTGTGGGAGCAACAGTTATAAAATGTAATATCTACAAGACCACTAATAATCTCCCTCGATGGGGCTCCACGCAAGATCTCACCCTGTGGGGTCAAAATGATCACAAGAACGGTGAACAAAAATCCCAGAACCACACGGGGGACCTGGCGAATGACCTAGAGAAGGCTAGGACTGACGTAACAAAGACTGCCATCAGTAACACACTACGCCACCAGGGACTCAAATCCTGCAGTGCCAGAGGTGTCCCTCTGCTTATAGGGGCATTTGGATGTTCCAGAAGAGTATTGGGAGAATGTCATATGGACCAATGAAACCAAAGTACAACTGTTTGGTAGAAATACAACTCGTCGTGTTTGGAGAGTGAATGCTGAGTTGCATCTAAAGAACACCATACCAACTGTGAAGCATGGGGGTGGCAACATCATGCTTTGGGGTTGTTTCTCTGCAAAGGGACCAGGATGACTGATCATGAAATAATGAATGGGGCCATGTATCGTGAGATTTTGAATGCAAACCTCCTTCCATCAGCAACAGCATTGATGAAACATGGCTGGGTCTTTCAGCATGACAGTGATCCCAAGCACACTGCCAGAGCAATGAAGGAGTGGCTTCGTAAGAAGCATTTTAAGGTCCTGGAGTGGCCTATCCAGTCTCCAGATCTCAACTCCTTAGAAAACCTTTGGAGGGAATTGAAAGTTTGTGTTGCCCAGCGACAGCCCCAAAACATCACTGCTCTAGAGGAGATCTGCATGGAGGAATGGGCCAACATACCAGCAACAGTGTGTGCCAACCTTGTGAAGACTTACAGAAAACGTTTGACCTCTGTCATTGCCAACAAAGGATATACAACAAAGTATTTAGATTAACTTTTGTTATTGACCAAAAACTTATTTTCCACCATTATTTGCAAAAAAATTCTTTAAAAAAATCAGACAATGTGATTTTCTAGATATGTTTTCTCATTTTGTCTCTCATAATTGAGGTCTAACTATGATGTTAATTACAGTCCTCTCCCGTTCTTTTTAAGTGGGAGAACTTGCGCAATCGGTGGCTGACTAAATACTTTTTCCCCACTGTATATTGGCAGAAGCATAACTGCCTGCAAACTATGCACTGAATCATTGAAAGAATTGGATTTTACTGGTAAATGTAGAGGTAAATGCATCAAGATTTAATACCAAAACTGCATCGATTTACAGCTGCTTTAGTCACAGCATGTTCATTCTTGAACTGGTATAAAACAGTTACTTTCTAAATTTGTAGATCAAATCATCCAGGTGTTAGTGCACAGTTGATATGAGTTTGTTGATTCTTCCAGGCTCTTTGGACCAGGCTTTAACATTCTGTGTGAAAGTGTCACCAGACCAAAGGAACCTGAACAAGAGATCAATGTTTGAAAACATTAATAGTGATCCATAAATGAAAAACAGGGTTATTATGTTGACATCTTTTTCCTGTCTGCTAATTTTTCTTCACATTTTAACATTTTCTTCCAACTCCTCTCTTACCTATTTCTTAAACATATTTTTCCACTTTCAGTTTGTTTATTTTTATCCTAGTGTATTTTTTGTATGGGAATGAAACTCCACCTGATTTATTTTCCTTTGGTGGATTTCATGTGCATCATGCATGGTCTAATATCTCATTGGGCTGCTTTAAATTAATTGGCGATTAAAAATAGCATTAGTCTCAGATTTCCGAGTGTTTGAGACTACATCCTATTTTCTGTACATAGCTTTCAAAGCTGTATGCACATTATTTGTTGTCCACCTCTATCCAACCACATTGCGATCCACATATTGTGACCCACTTTTGAGGGTAGTGAGGTTGGTGGTGGTGGTGGTGGCGGGGTCAGCTTTTTTTTTTTTTTTCAAATGAAGAGTCTCATCCAGTATGGTAATCTTTGGAATTAAATGTTACAAACAAAATATTCTGAAGTAAAAATGTCAGCAAAACAAATCTTTATCAAAATCTTTATCAA